ATAAATAAATAAATAAATAAATAGAAATTCTCTCACTGTTATTTTAATAGACTCTAGAGGAAAGGTTAGGTGTATATATTCATGTGACATTTTAAACCAAAAAACCTCTGGCCTTTTAAAAAAGAACCCCAAAAGAAGATATTGGGGCCGGCCCGGTGGCGCACTACTACAGTGCTCCCGCCGAGGGTTCAGATCCCACATACAGACCAGTTCCCGCTCACTGGCTGAGCGAGGTGCGGGCACAACACCGAGGGTTGCAATCCCGTTGCCGGTCTGGTCCGGTACGGGCGCGACACTGAGGGTTGCGATCCGTTGCCGGACACGAAAAAAGACTAGAAGAAGAGATTGCTGTAGCTGTTAATAATTGTACATTTTATTTTAATTTTGTATTTTTATGTCAGTATAGTTTTAATGGAAGACTGAAGTTAACCATAAAATTCTGCATTGCCTATATTTTCTTTTTTGATATGAAACAGCTGATGATTATCAACCAGTTCATCAATTAAGTAAACCTGGGGAATTGAGAAGAGAATATGAAGAGGAGATAAGCAAGGTAGGTGCTAAATATGTAGTTATTATTTTTTTAGAAAATTTCTCTGCTGTGTTTTTGGTGTCAGATTTTACATATAGATTTATGGGCTTTATACAACTGGTATATCTTGAAATGTGAATAGTTTTAATGTATTTTATAAAGCCTTCATTTTCTACATGTGTTCAAAATATTTATAAACTTTAGCTTTAATTTACTTGTACATAAATGGTGTTCTCTTAGGTGATAGTGATCCCTAAGCATTTAAATATGAAGGAGATTTAAAAAAAATTTTTCCTGAAGTTTAAGCTTAAAGGATGGGAAAAAGGTGGTAGATTATGGGTTTTGATCAAAAAAGCATAAAGGGCTAATTGTGAAGTACCTAAATAGGAAAAGTGGAAGTAGTGCTTACAGTGAAGCCTTTGAACTTCACCAATACTAGGAGAACTCTTGACTGCTCTTACACTGCTACTTTGGGGAGCAGTACTGCCCAATAGAAATACAGTGTGAGCAAATATGTAATTTAAATTTCTCTAATAGCCACATTTTTTAAAAGACTTTTTTAAAGATAAAATTAATGTTATGTTTTATTTAACCCAGTATATCTAAAATGTTATTTACCATGTAATCAATATAAAAATTATATAAAATTGTAATCATGTTTTAATTATATATAGTTATGTATAAAATTAATAATGAGATTTTACTTTTTGTTTTTCTTACTTAGTCTTCAAAATCTTTTGTGTATTTTGCACTTACAATATACCTCAATTTGGATTAGCCACATTGTTAGTGTTCAGTGGCCACATGTGGTTACTGTATTGGATTGTGCAGTTCTAGAAAACCTAATAAATAATTATCTTAGTTAACATAATTGTCAGCATATTATCTACACAGTATCCTAAATAAGGGTTTTTAAGGAATAATGTGATTCTTACAACAATATAGTGAGAACTCTGTCAGGATACTGTTGACTACAAGTAAAAGAAAACTCAAACTACTGTAAACAATAAGGAAATTATAATTAACTGGAATTCCAGAGTTAGGCTTCAGGGCTGGTTTCTTGTAGAGCTCTAGCTCCATTTCTTTGCTAACTTCTTTGAGCTACTTTTATCCTCATGCTAATAGCAAGACAGCTGCACAGTTCTGAACCTCAGATTCATACACAACAATGTGCAGAGGAAAAAGAAGCAGTCTCTCTAGAGCTCTAGCTCCATTTCTTTGCTAACTTCTTTGAGCTACTTTTATCCTCATGCTAATAGCAAGACAGCTTGCACAGTTCTGAACCTCAGATTCATACACAACAATGTGCAGAGGAAAAAGAAGCAGTCTCTTCCTATGGCTTTCCTTTAAGAGCAAGAAAATTTAACTCAGTTCTTTAACAAAGTTTCCCCTCATGTCTTATTTGCTTGAATTGGATCAAGGACTTATTCTTAAATCAAATCCTTTAGATATTTGAAGTGGTTATTGAATTATTTCTTTTAGGCAGTATAGTTTACTTTTTATTTTTTTAATACATATATCTTTTATTGAAACATAATTGATTATATATATTTTTGGAGTTCAGTGTTGACATATGTTGACCAAATCAATATTATTAGCATATATATTATTACAAATTGTACTTATTCTTTTAGGCAGTGTAGTTTAAATGACCATGAGTGTGGCCGTAGGTCCTAGAATCTGAGTTTGAGTCTCAACACTCTGCTATTTACTAATTTAAGAAAGTTACTCACTTTTCTATGTCTGTTTCCTCATTTGTAAATCATATAATCGCCATTTTGGATGTTTCTTCAGCTATTCCTGCCCATTGTGTTTGGGGATTGATCCCTGTTCCAAGGATAGGCTCTGATTGGTCTAAGTCAGTTTTTATCTTTACATCCCTTTTGCTAGGGTTTGGTTCAGGAAACTAGGTCTATGTTCGTCCGTATGTGGCATTCCATTAAGTTAGGAAAGTATTACCAAGAAACAGTTCCACTATGTGTGGCTGTGTAGTAGAAACTGTGATAAGGACTGATGAGAGGAAGGATGAGTTTTTGATCAAGGTTTCATCAGACTCACTGGGGAAGGCTTCCTGAGAGACCTGCCTTGAACTATTCTACAGGTATTTGCCTGTCCATATTTGTCTTTCATTTGTGATATTTACATTCCTGCTTATTTGTTCTTTTTTTGCTTTTCTTTTAGTAGTATTATGAAATTTTACAAGTATACTAAAAAGTTCAGAGAAGGATTGTTCTTTATTAATCACTTTTAAGGTAGAGGCAGAGCGACGAGCCAGTGAGGAGGAAGAAAACAAAGCCAGTGAAGAATACATACAGAGATTATTGGCAGAGGAGGAAGAAGAAGAAAAAAGACAGGCAGAAAAAAGGCGAAGAGAAATGGAAGAACAAGTGAAAAGTGATGAAGAACTGGCAAGAAAGCTAAGCATTAATATTGTAAGTTTTCGTAGAGGACTTTGAAATATTAACATTACTATTGCTTTGGCTATGTGGATTTCTAAGAGCTAAAGAAGCAATTGCTATAACTAGAAGCTATTGGTGACGTTGTTAGTCTACTTAAAACTTTTCTTCATGTTGTTGCAGATTTTCCCTAATCCAGGTTACTTTTTTAAAAAGCTTTAGTAAATTCTAATTATGTAGGAAAACTGAGCTTCCTTTCTTCTTTCTCCTCTCCACTTCTATTCCTGTTCCATTACATCAGTCACTTTACCCAAGGGTAACTACTGTTAACAGTTTCTGGTAACTTTTTTTCTTAATCACCTAAAAGGAGTATATCAATTATACTGTTTTGCTCCTCACATTTTTTCACTTGATATATCTTAGAGATTTTTCATATTACTATATATAGTCTATCTAAACCTTTCTAAGAGGAGAATAATGTTTCATAATATGAATGCAAATCACTTTTTGAGAGTAAAGCCTATTAAATTCTTAAGCAGTATATTAAACCAGAATTTTATTATCTTGATGTAACTAAATTACTGCCTATGAGAAAATGAATGAAAGAAAGGATGATAAAACATATATATTAAGACCAAAGGATACAGTAGGACCCAGTGATTTGAAAGAGCCTGGCAGAAGCTCCTGTGGTTCTTTTAAAATGCAGACTCTAAATCTATGGAATCAAAATCTCTGGGAATGGGACTTAGAGAATATGATCTGTGGAGGCATCTAGGGAAGTCTGAGGTGTTCAGGTTTGAGAGGCTCTGAAAATAATTCCTCTGCTTTCAAACAATAAGTGTCTTAAAATATACTTACCAAAATGAGGTGTACCCACAGTTGGGATTTTTTTTCTTTTTTCGAGAGGCCTACCATTCATAATAATTTACCCAAGTTTTGGATTATATGCCCTTCTTTTTTGACTTGTTTTGTTTGTTTTTTGGTTTTGGGGGTTTTTTTGGCAGCTGGCAGGTATTGGGATCCAAACTCTTGACCTTGGGATTACCAACCTTTTGTATATATTGTTTTCTTTTTTCTTATTTTTTTATTTTTATTTGAATAGAGTAGCTTTAGAAAGATGCACAGGAAATTAAATAAAAGACATTGACTAATGGAATAATAAATGGTATAGGGAAAGAAATATGGCAAAGAGGAGAATTTAGGGTCATCTGTACCTGTCTTTCAAGTGTCTATTTTTCTTATCCTTTCAGTTTTCACATGGGATTATAAGAATAGATTTATTGATATTTTATAATGATTTTTGGTTTACTTACGAAAGTTTGGTGGTCCAAGGCCAAGTGTTCACCATCACCAATTATATTAATTTTTCCAGTAGTGTAGTAAGATACTTATGAGACTAGTACAGCAAGTAAATATTCATGATATTTATTAGTATCCCCTTAAACCCAGAATTAAATTATTTTTATGTCAAAGTAACTTCTACTCCAGGTATATCCACAGCTCTTTGAATTTTCCCTTGTAGTTAAGATAGTTATATGAAACTATTTATTAGAAAACTCAACAGAAATTATCAGCTAATGAGATTAGAATCATCACGTAATTTTTTTTTCTTTCTTTTTTTTTTTTTTAAAGATGACCAGTAAGGGGATCTTAACCCTTGACTTGGTGTTGTCAGCACCATGTTCACCCAGTGAGCAAACCGGCCATCCCTATATGGGATCCAAACCTGTGGCCTTGGTGCTATCAGCACCGCACTCTCCCGAGTGAGCCATAGGCCGGCCCTTTTTCTTTTATTTGGGATTCTTTCTACAAACATTTTAAAATTTGATTGATTGATTGATTGGGCAGCAAGCTGGTTTGGAGGTCCGAACACTTCCTCATGTCTTTTTTTTCATGCTCAATAATGTATAGTAAAAATGTAATTAATTTAGAGTAACTTGGATGGATGTAATTTTGCTTATATTGATGTTTGCATGGTTAGTATTCTTTAAAGGATGCATAGAATTTGAATGTAAGTATAATTCCTGAAAAATTCTGTGGATTCTGAATTAGTCAAATTAATACCTTACTATTACCATAAAGTTCTCTTTAATACACTTAGTTTTTTGGGGTTTTTTTTTAAGTAAAGTGTAGTAATGACAGGGGGGAAAGTAAAACAAGGGGTTTGATCTGCACCTGACTGTGAACAATCAATTGAGATAATCCACTAAGTATATACTTCAAAATATATAAAGATAAAAAATTACTAGAAATACAAGAATAAACTGACTAATGAATTTAAATGCAGAAATTGAGAAACTGATAGATTAAAGGCAAAACAAAGTTAAAAACAGATATGGTCTTGTGTATTAGTCTGTTTATGTTGCTTATAACAAAGTACATGAAACCGGGTGATTTATAAAGAAAACAAAATTTATTGCTTACAGTTTCCGAGGCTGGAAAGCCCAGAGTCCATCCAGTGATGGTGACAGCATCCCAGGGGTCTAACATTGCAAGATGGTGGAAGCAGAGAGAGCAAAGCAGAGTAAGAGAGAGACAGACTCTCCTCTTCTTTTAAATCCCTCAGAACCGTGCCCCTGACCACCATTTTTAATCCATTCACTACTGCGCAGTCCTACGTTCCAATCACCTCTTCAAGGCTCCACCTTTCAATTGCCATAATAGGATTTCCCACCCTCTTAACAGTCACAGTGGGTGCTAAGTTTCTAATACGTAAAACTTGGGGAATACAATTCAAGCTTCAGTGAGTTTTGAGGGGACAGTATTCAATCCACTATAGTCTTGTCTCTAGAATATATTAAAAAACTCTTGTAACCCAACAACAAAAGATAAACAACACAATTTTAAAATGGGCAAAGAATTTAAATAGGCATTTATCTAATGACATACAAATGGCCAAAACACACATTAAAATATGCTCAACAGTATTAGTCGTTAAGGAAATGCAAGTCAAAACCACAGTGAGATACTACCTCACACCCATTAGGATGGACATAATCCACAAAAAGGAAAAATAACGTGTTAGCATGGATGTGGAGAAATTGGAATCCTCGTGCGTTGCTGGTGGGAATAAAAAATGCTGCAGCCACTGTGAAAACAGTGGATAGTTCCTCAAAAAGTTAAACAGAATTACCATGGGACCCAGCAGTTCCACTCCTGGGTTTATATCCAGAAGAATTGAAAGCAGGCATTCAAACAAAAACTTGTACACAAATGTTCTTATCAGCACTGTTAAAACAGACAAAAGGTGGAAATGACCCAAATGACCATCAGCAAATAAATGGAAAAACAAAATGTGAAAATGTGGTATATCCACACAATGGAATATCATTCAGCCCTAAAAAGGAACAATGTACTGTTACGTACTACAATGTTCATCAAATTTCCAACCTTTTGAGGATGGAGGAGCATAAGCAATTCACATCAATGTGGGATAAAAATAGTGCACATTACAGTTTTGTCCTATGTGTATATTAACTCTCCTACCCTGTATCATAATATGCTCTGAAGGGACCTAGACCATCTGAACATTCTGCAAAACATCCCATTGGCCCACTTTATAACCAGGTAGAGTGCATATGAAGTAATAAGTACAGTGAATGCCTTTGTGTGTTACATGTGCTCCAAAGGGTCACTAGGAGTACCATGAGGCTAGTTGTGCTTGCCACCCCTCAGTCAGACTCCACAAGAAAAGTTTTAGAGACAGTGTTTGTTGAAGTCATCATAGTAGACGTCTTGAACAGTCTTAATGAAGAGGCCTGGGTTGGGCGTCAAGCTGACAAAACTCCAAAGCTGGTCATTTACATAGTATTCAAAATGTGTGTTCATGGGTGCAGATACTGATGATCTTTTTTTTTTTTGACCAGTAAGGGGATTGCAACCCTCGGCATGGTGTGGTCCGCACCACGCTCAGCCAGTGAGCACACTGGCCATCCCCATATACGATCCAAACCCGCGGCCTCAGTGCCAGCAGCACTGCACTCTCCCGAGTGAGCCACAGGGCCAGCCCCTGATGATCTTTTTGAGAGAGGAAAATTGTCAACAGCACCAGACCCAGGGTGGCTTGACTGCTTCAATAGTCTTTCTCAGCCTTAAGTCATAATTTGTAATCAGCTATTGGACCTTGCTTCTGAGCAAGGTAGTTTTGATGGTGGGGACCAGGGTTTACTGAACATGTTTTTTAGCAGCTGGGCAACAACAGACATCAGAAAACACCTGCCATTTATTTATAACCTAATCAGCATTTCTATATACTCCTACTTCCCAGCATTTAAAGCATTTATTTGGTGCAAGAGCCAAAGTTGAGCATTTCCTCCTGGGATGAATCAAACCATGCAGTTATACTTACAATCCCCAGACAAAAAGTATCAAAAGTGAGTCCCTTGATTGCCAATGTAACTCATCCAAAGTTTCTCAGACTGTGGTGGGACATCTTCACCACCAACATTTTACCTCTTCTTCAACAATTTGGCCTTGTCAAAGATATCAGCTCATATCTCACTGTGGAAGATGTCTCAGGAGCCATATTATACCTGTCCCTTGAGGAGATCCTGGCTACAGGGTGGCCTTTTGTGTCCTCAGAAGAATGAAATGAGTGGTGGGAACAGGGCTAAGCTGATTACATGGGAGCAACTTCCTTTGACAACATCAAGAGGAAACTTGACACTTAACCTCCGGTAGAAACACTGCCATTTTCCTGAAGACACATCCACTTCACAGGCACTTGTTCCTGATCCTTAGTATCTAGAGCTGGGTTGAGAGAAGTCTGTTACAGTTGCTAGAGGCTTTCACTAGAACTCATCAGATGATGGGTTTTTGCAGGATAACAGGTAATAACTGGGCAAAAGTTGTGAAGTAGCAGTTCTGTTATATGGACAGTGTTCTGTTTTTTAACTCTAGACTTATTTAGCCAATGTTTCATAAAATATGCTGATTGCCAGCTTACACGGTAAGGGAAACTCAATATTAAGCTATTAAGATGGCTATATCAACCTTAGAATATGCAGAGCCAGGCTCCAAATTAGTCACCCTTCAGAATAGGACATGGCATATGTCCCTTGCTTGCTTGTTGTAACCTTCACTAGACCTGCATTTTAGAATTACCTAGAGTCTGCCAGAGTGAATGTAATTCCACTTTCAGGGAAAGATAGCCCATATTAATACAGCTGAGTGATTCATAAACATATTGACAAATGTTATAAACCCATTTTATTTCCTCATCAGTGTCTGAAGATGTTTATCAGTTTTCTATGTACAGTAAGGCAGCCTGCTAAAATGCTTTTATTCAGTTCTGTATATTTGAAAATAGCAGTGTGTTCTGTGATGGCTACCTGCAGTGGCACCCTATGTGAAAAATAAAGACTTATTGCCAACAAAAAAAACAAACTAGAGACATTTCAGGGTCATTCCGCCTTAGTGAAGTATTTAGAGGTCCAAAGATTTGGGGCATATCATGATATCTCTTCCTAAGTAAAAGATCTATTATGTCATCTGAACCCTCAGAAGCACAGTGCTTGCAAGACTACTAGGTTTGAATAGGGTCCAACACACGAAAGAGCTACAGTCCAACTATTCCACTTGGCCAGTATTACTTAGAAGATACATGTTACCTAGAAGATACCATTGTGGTGAAAAAGGTGCCTTGTAGCATTTATTAAATGCCCCCATAAGAAAATCACATTTAGATCCCCATGGATATGCAGCAAGTTTCTCCCTTACAGTGGAGAACTATACAGCATTTAACAAACTGCTGCTAGACTGCTGCTGCACCCCGATAGAGTGTCTGGCTATGGATATCATTTGACCCCATGGCCATAGCTATGTTCTATCAAACTCTTGAAGTCATTGGTTGGACCAGTCCAGCAACAATTCATTGTAAGGTGGAAGTGATATGTCCAGACAAAACATAAGTGAGGTGGCATAGCTGCATAAGCAGTGAGCCCAGACCCCTGTATCATCTACTAATGTTACACTGGTGCTTCTCCCTTGCTTTATGCCTATAACCTTATGAGGGGATGGATTATTTTTTTGACTAGCTAAAAAAGGAAGAAAAATGGCAAGTGTTAGACATCTGGCGATTCACTTTGTGTGGAAAGGGAAGCAGTCCAAGTAAGAATGCAACTGGACTAACGGGCAATAGAAATGACTGGCTTTTTTCCATGAACTTTTTTTTTTTGGCAGCTGGCAAGTACGGGGATCCAGACTCTTGATGTTGGTATTATAACACTACACTCTAACCAACTTGAGCTAACCAGCCAGCCTTTCCATGAATTTTTTGAAGTATCCTCATGTACAAATATGACACTTTTTTTATCAGAGACTGGGCATCCTCAGATTTTGGGATCCATGGGGATCCTGGAACCAATCCCCTCGTGGATACTGAGGGACAACTGTAATATGATTCCATTTACATAATGTTCAAAATTATGTGATACTAAGCTATAAAGTGTTTAGGGATACAAATGTGTGGTAAAACTATTTTTTAAAGTAAGAGGTAAGAAACTCAGGATAGTGGTTATGTGAGGTATGAGATGAAGAGGAGGAGGCCTTTAAAACCAAACATTTTTTTTTAATCCCTTAAACCAAGTGATAAGTGTATGGGTTTTCATGGTAATGTAGATTTGTAAAACTTTTTTGGAAGAATAAATACTTACTTTAAGGTGCATTAAGGAAGGCCTTAAGGAATTCTTCAACCCTGGGAAACAAAATTAAAATGAGATTAAACCTGGATTCCTGTTTTTCTCTTATCAGCTAAAAAGGTGGTTCTTGTTCTCAAAAGTTTGCAGAGTAAGTATTTAGACTGATGTAACTAAATATGCAGTTTAGGTACTCTTGTTCATCTGTAACGGATATTTGTTTGTTCTTTATATGAGATCTTAGTCTGGATTTTATTTTATTGTTCCATATACTATTTGTTGGTGCTTTTGACACAGTGTAACTTATGGCTTTACATATTATTTGTAATCAGACATTTTCCCATTTTTTTCTTTAATTATAAAAATAATAGCTACCTGCTCTTTGAAAACCACCCAAAGTTACCACAAAAACCACCCAAAGTTACCACCACTTGGATGCAACCAACATTTTGGGAGATTTCTGCCATAATTAAGCATAGCTTAAAAATGTATGTGTTCAGATATTTTATAATTTCAAAATTATACCTACCATCTTGTAACCTGCCCTTTTATTCTCACTTCTTTTACATCATTTCCTACTATATTATGAACTTCATATTTTCAGTGGCAAAGAAGGGCTATTAAAGATGCTTAGAAATTTAGAGATAAGCTCTTATTCTGATGTATTGATATATCTTAGGGTCTGTAAGCAGATAGTTGGTATAAAAAAGTGTAGATGATAAAATCTCCATACCAAAATGGTAAAGAATTTAATCATCCCTTTCCCAATAGTAGGGATTAAAAATATAATAAATAACCAAAGTTTCTGTCATTAAAAACAACAGCAAAAATGTAGTCTCTCTCCTGACTTAAAGTGTCATTTCCATTACTTTTGCAAAGGCTATACAATTGTGCATTGTTTTGATACTATCTGCACCTTTTAAAAATATTTTCAAGAATTAAGAAATATTTAGATTTGACTTTTCTAATATTTTTCACTAAAATATTAATACTCAACCTTTTAAGTTTTATCTTGGAGTTAGACCAAAATACCTCAGATGAGGAGATGAAATACACTCTAATAAATCTGCCAAGCAGCAAACCATACAACCTTAGGCATAAATAGTTAATCCCGCTTTATTATGTTGGGTACATACCACTTGTCTTTCAAAGCATTCAAACTTCAGTAAACTTTTTTCTTAGGTATTTGTCACCTAAATCTCAATCTGGGTCATCGTCACAGTCTGAAGTTGTACAAAACATCAGGAAAGACTCCATATCTAAGGTATGTTGATGCTGAAGATGTTCTTAGTTTGGCAAGTTTATTAATGCTATAGATTACTAATAACTGTAGATTTCTAACTTTTTTTTTTTTTAAGATGACTGGTAAGGGGATCTTAACCCTTGACTTGGTGTTGTCAGTAACCGGCCATCCCTATAATAGGGATCCGAACCCATGGCCTTGGTGTTATCAGTACAACACTCTCCCAAGTGAGCCACGGGCTGGCCCTTCTAACTTTTTTTTCTAAGTCACTGTAGTTAATGGCCCATGGACTTTCTTAGTTGTCTTAGGCTCACCTAGAATAGGGGTCAGCAAACCTTTTCTCTAAATGGCCAGATAGTAAATATGTTAGGCTTTTTGGTCATTACAGTCTCTGTCATAGCCCTTCAACTATGCTGTTTTATTGTGAAAGCATCCATAGACAATATGTAAACAAATGAGCTTGTCTGTGTTTCAATAGAATTTTATTTACAAAAACAGGCGGGAGGCTGGATTTGGTCCATACACCATAGTTTGCTGATCCCTGACCTAGATAATCAAACTCACAAAACTGAATAGGTTATACTTGGCACCAGTTTCACTTAGAAGATTACAAAATGGGAAACAAAGCTTGCTGGTAGGGCAGTATCACACATGTATGTTCAGAAGGGGTCCTCACAGCAGATCTCCTAAGTGATGGCCTGGAAATGAGAGCACACAAGTGAGTGTGGTAACCACCCTAGCTTAGAAGCACCATGCCTTATAAGAGTCAATTATTTCTTGTAACAACCAATACATATAGCTTCTAGTGATCCTAGTAAGGAACATGCCAAGTGAAAAGAGTTGTAAGTCCCTTACAGAAGCTGCAAGTGGTTTGGCTTCCCACTCGCTGTTTATAGAGCACTCATCTTAGTACAGATGCAGTTCACCAATCGGGGATCATTTTTACTGTAAGAAATGTGGCCTAGTAATAGGTGACATTCCACCTTTATCAGGAAAATAGAGCTAGGAAAGGGGAACTCATGCTTAGGTCAGTTTCTTACATACAAATTTTGTTAACCCTTAACTCACAGGTTTCTAACATTTTTTCGATTCATCTAGGTGGTTTTATAGCAACTAGCATTTAATGGACATTTACTGTGTGCCACATAATGTATTATTATCTTCTTTAATCTTCATCACAACCACCAGTTCTGTAAGGTTGTTATCCTTCTTTTGCCCTTTTACAGTTAAGAAAACTGAGGCAGAAAGCATTTCAGAGATTTGCCCAAAGGTCCTCAAGTAAAGTTAGTAGAGGGAAGATTCAATAGTCTGGCTTATACTAGAACTAAGGATTGGTGGAAGGGGTATTGTAGAGGGCAGATATTTTTCCTACTCAGATATTCATATTCACGGTAAAATTAGGTAAGCAACCTAGAATTTGGCCAATCCAAACCACACTGGTTCATAAGAAATGCTGTCAGGAATGATAAATGCAAAGCAAAGTGGGTAAAAGAACATAAGGGCTGCAGCAACAAGGAGTAATCTTTGTTCTGAGGCCAGTTCTTTTTTTTTAATTCATGGTTGGATTTTTATGTCTTATTTCTTTGTTTGTTTCAAATGACCTGTATCATGAGAATACAACTGAGAAGGGCTATTTCTTCTTTACAGATTTTCCAGAAATGGCAGATTTGGGGGTAAACTTGGGTTCTGCTCTGTTTTGGGGGGGGCGGGGGGCAGGGTCTCCTAAACTGTCCTCACTTCATCTTCTCCTACTAGGTAAATCCCGTTCTCTCCCCAGAGAGATCCCATATCTGGCTAGGCTTCCAGCTAAGAAGTTGGCCCCTAAGCTTTTCTGAATGTCCAATGAGTCCTTTAAGTACATACCAGGGGCTTTCCCATTAGGAGGAGTTCCCATTGTTACTGGTACCTTCCCTTCCATGCTGTGATCAGAACTTTAGGTATAAAAACAACTTCCACTGAGGCAAATTCTCATCGAAGCCTTTCTTTTCAAGGCTTTCCCGTTGTCGAAGCTAAGTCTTGACCTACCTAAGACATATAAGGGAGAAGAATTATACTGGCTAAAGCAAGAGTTCTTAACCTAAGGTCTGTGGTTAGAATCCAGGGAGTACATGTGAACTTAGGAGAAAAGTATATCTTTTACTTCTAATTTTAGTGTTTCCTTTAATTATGAATGTAGACAGCAAACCACAGTACTATTTACAGTACCTGTGACTTTGTCAGTAGAAAACATGGGTATTTTCATATTACATTTGTTGCAGATCTCTTGAAATATCATTTATACTTACCTCTACTTTAATATTACCAATTAGACTTGCTACTAGATCTTATTACTTAATGTATTAATAGATGCACATTACTACATCACATTTGGGTTTTTAAAAACATTTTAATAATTGTATTGCAATATAAATTACTCCCTTTGTAAGGCTGTATATCTTAATTTTTGTATTTAAAAGTATGATTCTCAGAAGAAGTCTAAGCTTCGCCAAAATGCCAAAAGGAGGGTCCACAGAATAGAAATGGGTTAAAACCCCAGGGGTAGAGGAAATTTATAAGGTGAAAGAGGTCAGGTCTACATATTGGCCTTAGGTAGAATCTAGCCTGTGGGTTTTAATCTGTCGGTTTTCATGGGAGTGAAAATGAAGTGATGTCTCAATCTAAATTGGCACACAGAGCAAAAATACTATTAAGAACGAACGAATATACCTTATTAGTAATAATAATGTATAATTCCCTATACCAGCCAGCTGCCAAAACACACACACACAAAATAATGTATAGTGACAATTCAGATATATATTACTGTGGAATTAAGTTATATATTATGATTTGATGTTTTCCCCTGGTTCACTCAGTCTTTTTCTCTCTTGTACAGGAAACTGACAGTAGTGATGTGAAGAGTCTTTTGTGGCAAGACACGGAAATTAAAGAAGTTATGCCAGCACTTTCTCCACAAATATGCCAAGAAATTCAAGAACAAGATATAAAGTCTTCGGTAGAGTCACCTATGCCATGGTTATATACTTATGGTGCAGAATGGTGCCTTGAAGAAAAAGTCAAAACAAGATCAAACAATCATGATAAAGAGTTATGTGTCATAAATCATGAGGGACCTAAAATAAGAGTTCCCGACTCTAGAGAGGTTGCAGTTAAGCCTTGTGGCAAAACAGAGAGTGGGTATACTATATCAGATATGACACAGATAATTGGAAAGAATACAGTTGAGCCAGAAAATGAAGAGTCTTGCCTACTGATCAGTAAAGATACTTCCAAAAGAAAAAACCAGGAATCGTCATTTGAAGCAGTAAGGGATCCATGCTTTTCTGCAAAAAAAAGTAAGATGTTCCCCAAATCTTCCTCAGATCAAGAGGAAACAGAAGTAAACTTTACCCAAAGACTGATAGATATGGAGCATCTGCTTTTTGAGAGACATAAACAAGAGGAGGAAGACAGGTTATTAGCATTACAACTTCAGAAAGAGGTGGATAAAGAACAAATGAAGCTAAACTGGCAAAAAGGATCCCCACATGAGTATCAGTTACGTGCTACATCCTCACCTCCAGACAAATTGCTAAATGGACAGAGGAAGAATTCCAAGGATAGGAACTTCAAAGGGCGAGCTGATATAGGGCATTCAAAAGCACAGAGAGGCTCAAAAGATGAAAATTGGCAACCTTTTAAGATCCAGTTGAAGCATTCTGTTAATGGAAGAAAGATGCCAAATTCTACTAGAAATAATTGTAATGTATCTAAAAGTGCTCATTCCCTACAACCTAGTAATTTACAGAAAAGTATTTTTCAAACGTTTCAGAGATGCACAAAGTAATGCACGGGAAAAGGGAGTGTTTTATAATCTGGTAAAGCTAGATTGTGAAGCCCTCTTTCTATCATAGAATATAAATTTATCATTAATTGTGCTCTGTAGGCACACTCATTGTCTTTAATTGAAGGACTGTGTGATTGCAAGGGAAGAATATATAAATGTGTTTCTGCAAAGCTCAGTGATAAGCAAGGGTCTGTATCTTTTCCATTGTTAATAACTGTGATGTACTAAGTTTGACAGACCTTGTGGATATCAGAAATGCCTTGGCCAACACCAAGAAACCTTCAAGTGCCATTCTCTTTCCAAACAATGCATGTTTTATGGCCTTTGCTCACCTTTTTGACCAGAAATCAAAGCAAAGTTATACTATACCAAGTAGTTAATGGACCCATGCTAGGTTTAAAGCCTAAGTTTTCTTGCTGCTTTCTCATATATTTATAGAGCACTTGAAGTGTATCTTCCATAACACTGAAGTTATCTAATATCCATCCCTAAATTTTAAGTATTGTAGCATTTCCTTTTATTTAAAATGGATTAGGATTGAAGTTAAGTCGGAAAATCAGAGTTTTCTAGAAAATCAGAAATCAGGTGACAGAAAGGAACCTAGATTCTTTATACGAAAGGAGTGAAGAGTTGGAATGAGGATGAGCTGGGTGGATTGACAGTTTGGGAGCACTGGAACTGAATGTGTGATCAGAAACTGGGTCCAGGATGGAATAGAACATGTAGTTTGGCAGAGGTTCCTTCCCTGTCCTTTCTTTGCTAAGTGACACAGAAAACATTTGGGTTTTACAGCTTTTCACACCATTAGTATCTGGTGTCAAAATCAAAATTAGTTACTAAATTACCTGAATTTTTGTACATTCACATTTGTATTAATCTGGTATTCCAGAAAAAAATGGGTATTTACTGTAGGAGAGTTATATGACAGTATCTTAAGTTGTGGAACCTGAAACATAACCATGTCTTTATTTTCCTGTTATCATTTGTATTGATATTGATTTTTATTTGTGTTTACGGGCGGACATAAAAAGTCTTGGATTTTGCTCTGTCTTACCCCTGAAAGTTAAATCTTAAGACAGTGATTTCATTTTTGAAATTTAACTTAGAGACTATCAATCTTTTGTTTCATTAATGTGAACAACTTTTCGCAAACAACAGTTTTAACAGCATTTCTGCTGATGTCGTCATCCATCCTTTTAATGTAAAAATATGATAAAATGTCCTAGAGCTAATTCTAGCTTAAATTTATCAACATTTTTATACGTCATTATGTTTTTTTCCCTCCATATTTTGTAATTGAAATTCTGTTAATCTTTGCATACTTGGTAGCATCTACATCAATATTGATTGGGTAATTATGGGTAGAATTCTGATGCTAATTTAAAATTTAATTTGCCCTTTCTCAAAAAAGAAGCGATTGCCTTCTGAGTAATGATTGTGTGAAATGAAGTATAGTCAGAAATTAACCAAATTTGACTACAACAGACTAAAATCTGTCATATCAAACCAGTATTTCTCTAAGGGCAATTTTACTTTATGTTTTAGGGTAGACATTGTTGGAACTCCTCGAATTAAAATGTTATCTAATTAAATCTTCCTGGAATACTCCATGAGCAAAAAGGGGGAAAAAGTATCCCATGGTGTGATATATTTAGGATTTATATATTTAACCACTTATTACTTGTCTGTGAAGATGTCTTCCTGACTAAAGTTGGTTTTGAGATAAGTTTTAATTTCTCTGTTAGTCTTTCTGCTATCCCTACCATATATACCTTTTTGTTAGAAACTAATAAATGTTTTGTCTCAGTCATTAGAATGTACTGCTACTTTTTTCTCTAATTTTTGTGAAAGGGATATGAGTATGTTTCATTTCTAAGGGAGTACTAAAGCTGGAGAGGTTGAGAATCTGAGAATTAGAACAATTATTAAAAATAAAAATTGAGGGCCGGCCCGGTGGCGCACTGGATAGTGCGCCGCTTGGGAAGCGCGGCAGCGCTCCCGTCCGAGGGTTCGGATCCCACATACAGACCGGCTCCCGCTCACTGGCTGAGCGAGGCGCGGGAGCAACACCGAGGCTTGCGATCCCGTCGCCGGTCCCCGGTCCGGTACGGGGGCAACACTGAGGGTTGTGATCCATTGCCAGACACGGAAAAAAGACAAAAAGACAAAAAAATAAAATAAAATAAAAATTGACATATATATTTTACCAAAATTTAAAAATACACAAATATTGGCTTCATAAAAATTTAAAGTTCTGCAAAAACTACCACCAAAGAAAATTGGAAGACATAGCAAACTGGGGAAGAAATAGTTGCAGTTCATCACAAGCAGCTAATTTCTTTTATATTAAGTATCTACCAATTCATTAAGAAAAAGACTAACAATAGAAAAATTAGAAAAGTTTATGTTCCCAGGAAACATCACTCTCAAGAAAGTAAATATAGCTGATAACACCAAGGTAAAGGGTTTGGATCCCTGAACTGGCCAGCCATCAGAAGAAAACAAAAACAGCCAGGTAATATAAATGGCTCTTAAACATGTGAAAAGATGCGTAATATCACTTATACTAATACTCTACATTTTTCCTCCCTTCAGATTAGTAAAGACAAAGGGGTTTTTTTGTTCTATTTTATTTTCTTGTTTTTGTGTGTGTGTGTGTTGTCTTTTTTTAATCTTGGCAAGAGTGTAGGTAAATAGGTATTTTTATGCATTGCTTGATATGAATAGAAAGATAAATATGTAGGTGAACTTGGCAGTTCCACCTCTAGGAATTTCTTAAAGCTGTCTTCATATACAGAATGATGTACAAAAAAATTTTGTTATGGCAATGTTGGTAATAACTTTTTAGAAACAACTTTAATGTCCATAGTGAACACTAAAGAAATGATGGTATGATGGAATACTATATAGCACTAAAACCTTTTTTTCCATGGTCTACACTGCTGGCAAAAAAACCCCCAACAAACCACTTTACTGATATGGAAAAAACTATAAGATATAGAGTTAAAATAAAAAATACAAGATGTAACTAGCATATATAGTGTGCAGCCATTTGTCCAAAAAAGAAATATATGTGTATTTGCATAAAATATCTCCAGAAGGAGAAACAATGATATTGTTGCCAGTGGCGAGAACTGGGTGGCTGGGTGACAGGAGTGAAAGAATTACTTTTCACTATATGTTCTTTCATACTTCTTGCATTTTGAAACATACTGAATATATCATTTAGTCAAAATAACATTAAGTACTCTTAAAATATTGCAAAATAAAATAAGCTTATAAATTCTCAGCCTGCACCACTCTAGATGGCCCTTTTTTTTGCCTTCTTAATTATAACAAGTTGTAATTCAGGAATGTTTTTTCAGCGAGAAAAGAAAATAGCTTTGTGAAGTTTTCAATTGTTTGAAAAGCAAAATTTACCCCTTCCGGATAGGACTGCAGCAGACCTACAATTCTGCTGTGAACAATGAGAAAAGCCACATGTAAATATAAAATTGTCTACATAAAAGCATTAGTGGCTACTGAAACAGGACTAAAGGGGCTAAGATTCTAGAGAGGGGAGACTTAAAGAGAAGCGGTCCAGTGTTCAATCCCCATACTAGCCAGCTGCCAAAAAAAAAAGGTGAACTGTTTGCAACCACTTTTCCCTAGTAGCAAGAACCTATCCTGAATGTAAGACAAGAATCAGGGCTGCTGCTGATGAACAGAAGAACTGGCAGAGCTCTTGGCCATCTAAGGCTGGCATGACAATATTGGACATTTGAGGGTCACAACTACATGGCTGGTTTTCCCATCAAGATAATTGCAGAGTTTTGAAACTGCTCAGAGCAGAGGCTAAAAGCTAGGCTAAAAACCTCTGAAAAGCAGCAAGTCGTTGTCAGGTTCGTAGTGCTCATGAGACAAAAGATTGGAATTCAGGACCTACCAGGCCTGTGGAACACATCAGTCTCAATTGAAAGCCCTAGGAAAGGGTTTTGGAGACTACATCCCAAAGGCCAAATCTAACCCACTGCCTATATATATAGGGCCTGTGAGCTGAATGCTTTTTAAATAGCATTTACATTACTTGGTTAGTCCACAAGTATTTAATCTATAAGAAACTGAACTATAGGACTTGTAATTCTTGCATGAATTTTAGACCATCAACACAATGACATGTCCCATGCCAGACAGCTGGGAAAAAAAAAAAAAAGCAAGTGCATGTAGTACGGGAGGGAAGAGGTAAGAAAGAAAATAATTCCCATCTTGGTCTCTATATCTGTGTGACCCTGGGGGAGCTACTTAACTTTTATTACCTAACTTTCTTAATTTGTAAGATGGAAATCATAATGTAACCAGAGTGGCTATGAAGAGTTAGGAGAAGTAATATGTATAGACCACCTGGCACATGACCTGACAAAAATGATCCTTGATACGTGATAGTTCCTTTCTCCTGGCTATTCTTCACCACCACTTCCATCAGCCTCACTTTCTCACTTCTTGGAGTCATTTGCTGACTTCTTGCTGCCTTAAGTTCTGAGATGGCATCTGTGGAATATACTATAAAGCAAATGTACTTCACAGGACCTGGTTTTCCAAAGCCTTGCAGTTTCAAATATTGACCTTGCAAGAGCAGGAAATTTTCCCCAGGCTAGTGAGTCTCTGTTGCAAGATAAGAATTGTGGCACAGCAAGGTTGCTGGCTCAAAGACAGATTAGTTACTGATTGATATCTAAGTTGCTGGAAAATGGCTAGAGGGAGAAGGAATGTTTGCTAAGATCAAGCTTTTGTTGATAGGACCACTTAATTGCCTTACTGGAATGTCATCTGACTTGTTTCACTGAAAGTTACCAGCCTGTATTGTTAAACCAGCCCATTTACGTTCTCTTCCTGTAATGTCCTGGCCTGGAAAATAAATGCAGGAAGAGAACCCCAATTCGTGGTTAATTTCCCAAGGAAGGGATGCCTCTTGCTTGAGGGTTCTGACGGGAGATTAACCACTTCGGGGTCTCTCACTGGTCAGAAGAGATGGGCTTTGAGTAATCCTTTGCATCTCTGTCACCCAGGGGATGTGGGGTGACATCTGTGGGGAGCTAAGCAACAGGCATCCAATAAATTGCAATTATCTTCTGCCTATTGATGAAGACTCCACTCATCTCCCTCCTGCCAGATGAATCCACAGCTCCTAGGTCACAAGAGACATTGAATCCAGAGAGAACCAATGATCAGAAATACTTTGTGACTTACTCAAGTTCATGTGCTAGTTCTACACATGTATGGATAATGGTTTGGAAAATGTACACTAAAAACTTTGAG